ATAGAAACTGAACATCTTGAAGGACAGACCATTAAGATGTGAAGATGCTTCTCAAGAAGATTAAACCATCCTCTGTGAGCAATAGATTATTCTTAGAGGCTTTATGCAACATTCCATAACAAGCACACATTTCCTAGTTGAGCCCATCAGATGTTCATGCCATCCTTTCATGAGGCAGGGAAAGTTCAACTAAATAAAATCTGCAGTTGTTTAGTCTGTTTTAAAAGTCAAAACAGAAACCATGAAAAATGTTTCTAATAATAAAGGTTGACCATGGTGGGGTTAGCTTGGTCAAGGTGTGCAATAGGTTTGTGTATCATGGCTGATACTAGAATGAAGAAGGTATGATATCAGAGTCACCTGAACAGAGAAAGGCAGAAAGGTTGGTATTTCCCTGAAAACAAGGTGGTGCACATTGGAAAAGGGGGCTAACATGTGCTTCCAGTTGGCACTGAAAGCCTTCAGACCTGCATTTAGTACTTTAGTTTTTTCAAGGTACTTAACCTACTTGTCTATATAAAATGAATTATGCATATCCCAACTCCTGAATTTTGTCTCCTGTTCATTAAAGGGTTAACAAATTACCTTGAGGAAGGAACTACATCTAGAAGGTGTTTGATTCAGATTGTAGTAGGATAAAAATGGTGATTTCTGATAGAAAACCTAGACTGCCCCTATATCACCTCGAAAGGTTTAAAACAGTTAGTAGTCTATATTTGTACTCTTCTATTCTTTAACCCTCCATGCATCACTACAACAAATCTACCCCCCCCACACACAAATCCTCCTTTGAGCCTTTTTATATCATAAATGTTTCTCTTAGTTACACCCAATCCTCTCACATAGGATAAATATCAACAAAATACACCTTGAGATGAAAATTAAAGGTTTAATCGTACAAGATAATTATAAAGATCTGCTGTGTAGCACTGAGCCTGTACTTCACAGCCATGATGCTTGGTCATCAGATTGGATCTCATGACAAACATTCTTATACAAAGTGAGATAGAGAAACAGTGGATCTAACACAGTGGGAAAATGAACAAATGAAGGCAAGAATAGGTGAAAGGGAAAGTTTGGAGAATGATTCTTCATTTGGACAAAAATAGATGATCATAGAACTATGGATGGAAGTAGAGAATACACAAACATAGGTACATTTTAGGGTATAATGTATTAATATGAAGTTATTCATGAGTAAATGGTTAACTTTAGTGGACTTAGTATGTCTAAGGTAATTTATTCCATCAACAGTTATTTCCTGAGTACTGTCCACCTGGTGGATTCTAGGGGAGGCAACTGATGGGGGATGTCTTTTTGTATGCTGTGAAAATATGTTGATCTGATTGGTTGATAAATAAAGCTGTTTGGCCAGTGGTGAGGCAGAATAGGGTTAGGCGGGACATTTTAACTAGAGAGGAGGAAGGAGAAAGGCAGAACAGAGAAACGCTGCCAGCCGCCACCATGAGAAGCAAGATGTAAAAGTACTGGTAAGCCACAAGCCATGTGTCAAAGTATAAGTTTATAGAAATTGGTTAATTTAAGATGTAAGAACTAGCTAGCAAGAAGCTTGAGACAATAGGACATACAATCTATAATTAATATAAGCCTCTATGTGTTCATTTGGGTCTGAGTGGCTGCGGGACCACGAGGCTATCGGAGCCAGGCAGGCACAGGAAAACTTTCAGCCACAGGCAACACTGATGAGCAAAAGAGGAATCCAGTTACAATCTCATGAGGCTTATGTCCTCAACATGAACACTGAGCTAGTCTCTGTTTTCCCTGACGGCCATTGTTTTTCTCCTAAACTTTCTCTGATGACTACATCCTCTGCCTTGCAAGCTACCTTAGTGGGGAATTTCTACTTGGCTTCATGGGAGCCACCAGAGAAGACTATAACTGATAGAAATCAGTATGTAAATTCATGAGGTTTCCTTCATGCATGCTTTCGTCCCAGCCAGATGACTCTCTCCTCTGCCAAGTCTCTGATATGCTCCCATCTCCAGCTCTTCTATGTTCTGCTGTTATGAGCTTTCTACTCTCTTACAGGTAATAATGAATTCTCACTGCACCAAGTCTCCAGATGCCCCACTTTGCTTTTCCTTTTTGGCCTTACCACATTTACATATCTCCTGAGTTTTTTTTTAAACTGTCTGAGTTGTAATCTGTTTTCCTCTGGGTTCCTGACTGATAAAGACTCATTTATAAGTACCAAAACACAAGTATAAGTAATTCAAAATTCCATTAAGGATGCTGTAGGGGAAAACTCATAAAAGTTTTTGGATATACAGTAGTAAGTATAAGTTATATACAATAGTATATATATATATATATATATATATACTATTGTATATACCATATATACAATAATCCAATATAAAGAGTCTCTTTAAGGGAGCAATGAATGGCAGCTGTGATGGAAGTAATGGGGAGTGTTCCCGGCCTAGGGAAGAATAACTGCAAGGCCTATGAGACCATGAGACAGCATGGAGTTCCAAGGTTGTCAGTCTGGAATCCAATCAAGAACCTTTTATGAGGGACACCTGGATAAAGCACAATATGCACACACAGCGAGAGGCAGAATCTGCCTATGTGGTTAGATCTTGACTGACACCAAGTGACAGACACTACAGTTCTAGAGAAATGTCCAGCAGGGCCTCCTGCATCAGGAAAGCAGTCAGCAGGTCATATGAGCTGTGAGTAAGTACCAACAACTACTCTGACAGTCATTTAAACTGTAATATTCATGTTGGGAGTGACATCCTGCTTCTTGCAATGCTAGGGAGGAATTCAAACAGGTCAAGATATCCCTTTAAATCATTTTATTTTTATGGGGTGGCAGGTGAGTTTTAAGTACTGGTATATTTCCTCATAATGATTTCCCCTCCAATCACCATAATTCATAGAAAGAGTATCAAGTACGCATCAGAAAGAGAGACAGCTCCTTCATGGAGGAAGCATGTCTTTAAACAACAACAACAACAAAACCTCTCCTTTTCAAGTTATTTATTTTGGTGAGTGGAAACAAGGAAAGCATAAAAAGTTGGAGAAAAAGATTTGACAATATGAATAACTCCAACTGTTGGGTCCCACCTAAAAGGAGGGAGAGGGCAAGCATCAATTTGCTAAGCATATTTCAAGCCTCCCCCAAACAAGCACATCTGACTTATTAAATAACCTGCCTGGGGAAAGGCTTTGTGTTGTTTCTTCTCTATAAATTGAGTTTTCTCATTTGTTTTACAATATGACCCCTCTTTGTTTTGGCTTTAGTACAAGTTTTGGCATTTAAGAATTATTTAACTGCAGGATATACTAAAGCCTTTGAAATCCCATTGGAATATATTATTTTTCCATTTGTAAAGATTAGGAGTTTGACTTTGGCTGCTCCCAGGCAAATGGCAGCAACACTGGAGTTTAAAGGTATCATCCTGTCTCATGCACTTAACTAATTCCTTTGGCTTTGGAAGACTTCCTGGGGCATCCGATCACATGACCACATACCTCCCACATGTATTTCCCTCTTTAAATTGTATTTCCATTGTGAAATTGTTTGCTTAAACAGTGGGCTATATGGACTTTCATTTCATTTTTTTTTTTGTTTACCATGATCTTAGATGTGAGTGGAACTGCATAGATATGTTATCACAATCTCTCTTAAAAGTACAACACATATTGATGATAATATTTCTCCATAAACCTCTAGCTGAATCTCTGTTATTTACTATTATTTTCCCCCTCCATGGGCTAATCCTACTGTGATTCAGAAATCTGCACATTTATGAAATATGTTTTATATCTATGTAATACTGTAGGTGTCAGTTTAGCACAACTGGAGTGAAATGATTAGTAACTCTGAAAGAGATGCATTTATACAAATTATAATTATAGCTCTTGAAGGGACCCTGAGGTTTTGTCATTCTAAAAATAATAACACTGTGTTTGAAACAAATCAGAATACCATAATCAAATGTCATCAGAACTACATTCCTGCTACACATGCTAGTATCCACACTATAGACATTATTGACGTGCAGCTACATAGCACAGGCTTTAAATTTCAGAACCAGGGTCACTCAGCCTAGCCAGCCTCAGGATGTGTTCTCAGTCATCGTGTATTTAGAGAGTGTTGTGGATTGTACACATTAACATTAGCAGCTTTGTTATCAGCTACTATTTTAGGACATAATGAAAGAGGTCAATCCCTGTACCTAAATCTCTTACAGTACATGTCTCCAGTAGGTGTGCATATGTCTGTATGTTTGTACATGTGTAGATATCCATGCATGTGCACTGAGTAGTCAGAAGACAAACTCAGGTGGTTGCTCAAGCACTACCTGCTTTTTAGTGAGACAGCCTCTCATTGTCCTGGGGTTTGTCAGGCAGTCCAGGGAGACTGGTTACAGCACCCCATGGGACCCACCTTTCTGTCTCCCAGGTGCTACATTAGCAAGAGTGTACATTCTTGTTGACCACATTATGCTTCTTACTCTTACACAGCAAGCACTTCATAGAAGAGTCCCCATTAGCCCCCTTAAACTCGTGTTTCCTTTGTGGTTTTAGGGATTCCATTCAAGTCCTGTACTACTAGGCAAGCATTCTGCCACTGAGCTGCATCTGTTATAGTCTTCCCATTCTCGACATCCAATTCCTGCACATGAGTAGCAGATGGTACTTTGTCCTTTCCCTCTCCTGCTGAAGGAAATCTAACGACAATGCTAAGATTTTCAGATCAGTATCAGAGGATTGGAAAGCTCTCCTACAATCTAGACATGCTTCCTTGATGTTAAACCAACAGGTCCTCAAGGATTGCTGTGCATACAGATGACTTAGCAGCTCAAGGGACCTGGCTACTGGTCAATTCCCAGCCTCCGTTCTTCTAAAAACACTATAGTCATCATGCGGCTTCTGGCGAAGTGAAACCTAGCACAATAAGTGATCTGTACAGCTGAGTCATGTTTTAATAAACAATGGTGTCTAATTATAGAATAATGTGTACTTACTTGCCAAGCGCAAAGCATTCCATCTTAACAGTTGTTCCCTTAGCAGCCGTAACCGTGAAAGGAAAATGGACCTCAATTTTCGGCTCATATTCTCCCATCACACCTGGGAAATAAAGAATAGTCTTTAAGCGTAAAATGAATGTCACAGTTTTCTTTCTAGTCTTGGAGATATTACATGGTAGCTGATGTGTGTTTTGTTGGATGACTACTAAATTTTTTTGGTATATTGAAATAAAAAGCATACTTAGGTTCAGTCATCATGGTGAGAGCCTAATATTCCTTTAAGAATGGGGTTCTCTGGGAGGAGAGGGGGAATCTGTGATTGGTATATAAAATGAATAAAAAAATTCCTTAATAATAATAAAAATGAATGGGGCTCTCTATCTGCTCTCTACATGGAGAGTATCAAAAGCTTTAATCAACATGGAGAGTTTAGACACTTATTGTTTAATGGTTTATTTAAAATTTATGTGTATGTGTGCCTATATGTTGCATGTGTGTGGGGGTGCCCATGGAGACCAGCAGAGGGAATTGGATTCCCTAAAGTAGGAGTTCTAAGGTACTGTGTGGTGCCCAACATAGGTGCCAACAATGAGATTTGGCTCCTCTTCCTGAGAGCATCAAGCTCTCTTATTCACTGAGCCCCAGGTACTGTTTTCTTTTTTAAAAAAATGAATGGATATGAAGATCCCCTATGGTAAATAATTGTACTTTTTAACTGAGAACATGTTAGAAAATTTTTTGGCATGTAAATTAATATTTGTTTAATAATCCATGTATATTCTTATTTTCCATTTAATTTTTTATTTATGTGTATGTATGCAAGTATGTGTATGTGCATACAGGTGCTCATGGGGGCCAGAAGAGGGTGTTGGGTCCTCTAGAGCTGGAGTTCCAGGCAGTCATGATCTGCTCAACATGAGTGCTGGAAACTGAACTCAGGTCCTCTGGAAGAGCAGCCAGCATCATTAAACACTGAGTCATTTCTCCTACCCTATTAACTTGTATTTTTAATGGTCTATAACTTGCAAATAATTTTGCTAAGAATTATGGAAGTTATAAAGATTAATTAGTCATGTACTTTGCTCTCAAGCATTCAATAAAGATATCTTTGAAGAGGAAACCGGTGTAAAATCAAATAAATGGGAAAGGCTATACATCAAAGTGACAGGAAGTGACAAGTTCCATGAATGAGGTATATCCAAAGAATTATGAGCACTGAAGTATTTGAGGAAGTGGGAAAAGAGGAGATAAATTAAAACCACTTCAAAGGAACCAAGCTAGAGAAGAACCACCAGGGATGGGGCAACCTGTTTTCCTGGTGTGTCAGTTTGTGAAGGAAAGTAGTGGGCAATTCTGGAAATACAAACAAGAATCCAAGGACAGAGGGTGCCAGTCCTGTGAGAAAATCTTCCCGACATCCTGTAACTGAGGTGGATCCACTAGGTTCTGACCAGATGACATGGACACTGAGATGTGTACACAAACTGGAGTTTGAGCAGAGGCAGTCCAGGCAAGCACATGATCTCAATATTCTTAGAAGAAGCAAAGAGCCAAATTTCAACAATAATGGAGGCAGAGGAGGCACAGTAAATGTGCAAAACTAAGAAAGAAACAAACTGGTAAAACTCACACACAGTGTAGTACAAGGAATAACTCTGCCTGCCAGGAACAACTCTGTAGTTTCCAGGTTGGGGTGGATGAAAAGAAAAGAAGGCAGAAAAATTGACGGATATCAGTTTACAGCTCGTTGGTAGAATTTGTGGACCCACACTGACCTGGGATTAACATCCACACCACACACATGAACACTCATGAGTCTGGAAGTATTAAGTTTGAAATAGAGAACACACAGAAATAAGTTTTAGACTTCACAGTCCACATAGAAATGAAGGAATAGACCTACATACTTGAGAAGCACCAAGTATCACCATTTAGAGGCGGGAGTGGATACCTTAAGATTGTTATGACTTTTGCCAATGAAAAAATCAGTGCACTAGCTATGGACTGAAGGGTTCTGGGCTGTTGGCATCAGGTAGCCTTGGGACTAGTTTCCTCTTGAACATAATGTTCAGGAGCTGTGTGTAAAGCACCAGAGGAACACCGCAGAATCAGGCAGGCTCTGTTGCAATGGAGCTCAGTGTGTGTTTGAAGGTGTTAGTGTTGATGAACCTGTACGTTTTTAGGCTTTTGTGTGTATGACTTTGCATGAATTTTTGTGTATGTTTGTAAATGAGAAGAGAGAGGAAGAGACCAGGATGGTTTTAAAAGGACATAAGAAGTGGAGATAAGACACATGGGAGAGTTATTCACCAGGGAAGGTAAATCTTTTATGTGTTTGGTATGAGGCATTTAAGACAAAACTTGAAAGGGAAATATGTATATTTTTAGCAAGGAAATATTAGAGACTTTAAGATTATCATTGCACTTTTTTGTTAGTTTGCAAATGAGTTAGTGCAGAGAGATTACTCAACCCTTTCATCACAGAGAGTCTACTGACAATCAGCCCATTACCTCCCAGAACCTAGTGACCTTCCCTTCCCTTTCTCTAAACTTCTAAATTGAAGGGAATTACCAGTAACACCATGTCTACTCCAACAGGTGCGTTCTGGCAACTGCTTTCTGCTCGCATGTGTGCTGCATGCAGGAGCCTGATGAACAGCATGTGACTGGAAAGGCTCACACAATGGTATCACTCAACAGAGCTGTTTGAGCTCTCTCTCTCTCTCTCTCTCTCTCTCTCTCTCTCTCTCTCTCTCTCTCTCCTCCCCCCCTCTCTCCCCGTCTCCCTCTCCCTCCGTCCCTCCCTCCCCCCCTCTCTAACTAGTGTTCTCTTATTCTGCTTTTCTGAGTATCTTTCCTCGCCCCACTTCCAAACCTTCTTCCTTTTGTGTCCTCCCCAGACTCTCCCTTTCTACCCTGCTTCTTGTAGGCATTTCAGTAGCAGGATCTGGTGTAGTCAGCCGAGTGTACCCAGTGTGGTAATGTTTCTCCTCAAAGCCCTGCTTGTAAGTGCCCTATCAGGACTTCTAGACATCCTCACTTCTACCTCTGCTCAAATGACATCCTTGTCTTCAAAGTTAGTTTCTTAAAACAGATTCTTCAGGTTTCTTTTCCTTCCTATTGATTTGATTATTCTTCTGGATAGCTTATTTATCATGATGCAAATTCAATCTAAAGTCTTTAAAAGTCGCTGTGAGTTCTGAGAGTGTCATACAATATTGTAGAAAAGTGGAACAAGTCAATCCCAACTCAAAAAGTAGTTCTTTGTAGTTACTTCTAGAAGATTCTACAAAGAAACCTCAGAAGAAAGGTATCTGGGTCTCCAGTAATTTATTTTGGTTTTCATTCCTAGCCTAAATGAATATTCCCTTTAGAACACAATTGTATATTAACACAGCATACTTATTTTATTAAAACAGCTAAAATAAAACTACATATTAAAACAAAATGAAGAAGTGTGAATAAGAGGTTTTAAATTACAATACCTGAGCTGAGCTGCACATAAGGAGTAGGACTGTTCTTGCCGACTTTGCTCCAAGAGCAATCATACTAGGTACGCAGGATAGCACTTCATCTATGCTGTGCTCTTTGACAGTTGATTAAATTTAGCAATTAAGTTCTAGTTTACATTTCATGGGGTAAATAGCCATCACTGTGTACTGATGTCATGGTTTTATTGTCTCAATTCACTTGTAGTTTAAATACTAAATCCTTATATGGAACATGATTTGATGCAGGAAGGAACAAGGAATAGGCTTAAGAGACGCAAGGTTGAAGATGGAAGTGTCTGGACTGATTTCTTCAGCAAGGTGGCTTTCTGATCACCTTGGTTTTGGCTGTTGCCTAAGATCCCCTGTTGTATGCCTTGTGTGTGTGTGTGTGTGTGTGTGTGTGTGTGTGTGTGTGTGTGTGTTTTCCCATACCTCTCTCTCTCTCTCTTGACTTACTCAACAGCCCTACTTTAGAATTACATGCCATTAAGACAACTTCAAATTGCCCCAGTTCCTAATAAATGGATGCCCTCCAGCTGAGAGGCCATTACTCTCATTCAGAGTCTTTATGTTTGTTGATTTCCTTCTTTATTGTGATTGCTCATAGAGAGCCAGGGCACATTTCCCTAAGTTGACTGCAATTCAGAACATATTACTGAACAGAAAGCTGATGCTGTCAGAAAAATCTGCACAACTTATTAAAATTTTAGAATAGAGGATCCAATTCTAAGCCTAGTGAAGAACTTAGAAGGTACTCTGAACTCCATTCTGAGTGGTTTCTTTGGGTGCCTTGATGCACATTCATGGGATCAGAGTGTAGAGACTAACATTCATGGATGAGTTCCACATGTACCGCAAATATCAGTGACTTACCCTCACACTAGGGCTATCCAGAGAGGTGTTGCTACCAGATCGAGTTTTTTGTGAATTGCTAGGGAGTTGGTTCTAATTGGTTAGTCTATGTAATAGCAGGTGTTGCATATTTCAGTAGACCCTTCTAGCACTCACAGTAATACTAATTTCTAGGGTACTGGAGTCATGTCTAGTATATTTATAAAGTTTGGCTAAGAAAATGAGATGGGAAAACTCAGCAAATCTTTTTCTTATGTGCAAACGATGGATATTTACATTATTATTTACAATATCTCTTTTGACCATACTCAGTATGTTGTTTTTTTTGTTTTGTTTTGTTTTGTTTTTTGATTTTTCAAGACAGGGTTTCTCTGTGTAGCTTTGCACTTTTCCTGGGACTCACTTGGTAGCCCAGGCTGGCCTCGAACTCACAGAGATCCGCCTGCCTCTGCCTCCCGAGTGCTGGGATTAAAGGCATGCGCCACCACCGCCCGGCATCAGTATGTTTTTATCTTTTAAGAACAGCTATTTTCTCAGCAATTATTTGGGGCAAAGGAAATACTACATCTCTGACTGAATGAGTTGTAAAGGAGGCACCATATTTCTATACAGTTTCTGCCTTCGGGTTATTATTATTATGGTATTAACTTGCTTTTAACATCTGGCTCAAGCTTGTCCAATCAGATTAGCTTATTGTCTTTTTCATCATACAGATTAATTCCTGGAAGGGTAGTTGTGGATGAGAGTCTTCAAAGAG